CGGATTTCGGCTTGCAAACACATCATCGTGTGTATACACATCAAAGACTTCTCTGCGTGTGCATGAGCTGTAGAATACTGGTTCAAAATAAGGACACAATTGCCTGGAGAACATTCAGAAAGTTAGCTCAAAGGCTAGGTTAGCATTTGTTGCCTCCGCTAACGTTCTCCAACGCAGCAGCTGGCCGCTGAGCTTACATCAGTGGCAAACCATTTCACGACTTTACTTTCAAACACTTTGAGAATTTCGTGGTAACAATGGAAACAATTTAAAACAATGCTGTCAATAAACAACGCAACAAATCGTTTTTGACTTAAGGTAAAACAAGTTTGCATTTTCCTGTGCGCTCTGGTTCTGAACTTTTAAGCCCAACAAACAGAATGCATTTCTATTCTAATCTGACACTAACACAATAACATGCCTAGAAACGCAAAAGTGTAGTGTGCTGTTACTAATGTTTTGAATTTGTAAGGTTAACCACTGCGGGGGCTTGGTATTCAAACTTAAACAACTTGAAGTTTATTTATAAATGTTTGAAAACGACATTAGTTCTCTCGTGGAAAAATACAGTTTACTTAAGTACTCGTGTAACGTTAGAACGACAGCCAACTGGGACACGTTTAGCTTTCACATTAACACCAATAAAATAATAAGAAAAATAATTAAGGGACCTCGAATGGCCTAAATGCTACACGAGTAAAACTCGTGTTAACTTACATGATGTTACTAACAGATTTACGTACGTAGTTCAAATACTGGTCGAACATTAGAGCTCAACAAAACTAACAGTGTAGTGTGATGGATTCTCAGACTACCGAGCTAGCTATAAAAAAAACAACACGAGGAGCCGACGAAAAGGGCACGGAAGTCCAGACACAGCCCGGAGCAGCCCTGTAAGGCAGACCATCGATAAAGGTGGCTTTTTAGCCAGCCAAGCAAACTACTCTTCTGGAAATAACTTATTGTAATAAATTGAAGTAGGCGCTAGGTACTTAGCTAGCTAAGTTATGTAGCTTCGTAGCTGAGGTGGGTAGACGGAAAATATGGTTATTTGGTGTGTTGGTTATAGTTACAAACCCTCGTATATAGCGAGAACTATATAGCCAATTGACACAAATGTTAAGTACTCACCTAAAGAGGCATTCCAAACTTGTATAAACGAGGTAATATAATGTAAAGTAGGAAGTCCTTAGAGCATCCCAACATCGATTCCAATCAGGCCTGTATATCGGCCTCGGAGTCTCCTGTATCCTTTGCCCTTATAAGTGGCTCCCTCTCCAGGGTTAGGAAACAAACTTCTCAGGGTCTCCCACGCATAGACGGAAAGTTAAATTCCCTGTGCTGTTCACGTGCACTGCATCCATTGAGTATCTATATTAGCTCCCCGGCAAATACATCAGTTTATTTTAGTGTCTTGTATATTTACAATCGCTATTTATAATGGGGCATAAGCTGCTGTATGTGATACAGAGCTCTGATTCTGTCTCGGTCCTTACATTCGCAGAGGCGCCCATCCCCCTCCTCGCCGGCATCGACCGCGGGTCCCAGCGAAACTGACACACAACCACGCCACGGGGTTTCCCTGGCGACCGTGCAGGGGCCCTCTCCTTGGGCGGCCCTTGCTGATGTTTCCCGCCTCTCGTCAGTGATTCGATTCCAATATGTCACTCATGTTACGCACGCGATATACGTGCAAGTCATTGGCGAAAGGCAGCGTCGATTATTTTTTTCCTTTTACTACGTAAAACAGGGCGGGTACTGCTTTGAGGAGTGGTGCGAAAATTTCCTTTCATTATATGTGTGTAGTGGTGGTGAACAGGCAGGAGTGAATGGCAGGATCGGGAGATAATTTGATACCCAGCAGAGGATCTGTACCTTCAGAGTTTCGGGAATTGTTCTTTATTAAATTCACATGCCGTGGAATTTATTTTAAGTCGTTAGTGGGATTATTACTTTTTATTTGTGTGTTACTTTCATCTACTGTGGAAGGAGTGTTTGTACTAATACATAGTAGCAAGCGTTAGCTACACGGGGTCTCTGGGGCCCAGTTCCAGGGACACCAAAGGCAGGGTTAGCCCACTGGGTCAGCCCCACCTACCGATATGTCAGATGAATGGAGTATGAGGTGTCGTTTTGGTAGCGTCTGCTGAGGGGTTGGACAGGGAACTTGACCAGTACTCCTGGGTTGCATCCACTTATTACTGGTCCCTCCTACTTCTGTCCCGCTGCCGAAACCAGTATCTTCCTACACTTGTACAGAAAAAAGTGGCCGTCACAACGAAAACAACGCTAGCCGTTGCTCAATAAATCCAATCCCGGGAGTTATATCCGAAAAATGAGCACCTTCTTTTTCTGTGATTTTAGCATTTATACAGAAGAACACTGAGACGCAGCCGAACATTGTCGAACATTGTCGCCCAGCCTACTGCACACATTGGATATACAAAATCATCTAAGGGGATACATTTTCAAAAGATACAAGTACACGACGGATAATTTTGCCACATTTATAATCAAACTAGTCACGATGACGCCATTGGTTTGTTATCGTGTCATGAGACTCAGGAGCGACTTTGGATTGGCTACGATGATAAATGCCAACGTCATTTGTTGCAGGGTCTGACGAACGACGAGATTAGACAGCAAGAATAACACAATTTGTACATTGTACTTTGGGGCTTCTATAATAAAGTTAGCTCTTAGATACTCAGATAACAGAATCGAGAAAAACAATCGACGTCAAAAGGATTTGACAGTTCTATTTTGGTTATATTTGACTGATTAGAGCAGTATACCACGCCCAGAAGTGCTTTAGAGGTACAACTTTGGGCTAAACTGGACATAAGAACTATGTTTTGTTCAAATACATCTGAAGGGTTAAAGTAAACGTCAAAGCCAGGGTTCCAAATTAGTATCAATCTACCTAAATACACAAATGTGTTTATGGTGAACAGGTACGTAGCACAGTTGCAGTGTTTGATGTTTATCTGATTACTTGAGATAACATTCACATATCCCTCTTTGAACACTGAAATCGTTTTTAAAAGCAGGTCTTGAGCTTATTAACAGATGGAAAACGACCAAGTTTCCCAGCCGCACTGTGTTGGCAGGCTGTGGCCATACTTAACAGTACTGCCGTGAAAAAGCAGTGTCATGTGGCCCAGTCCAAACTATGCACTGCAACACTGCTGTGTTCAACCCTCCCCCACTGCCACAGCTTCAGTAAATCTTTCATCTGCTCACCGTCTCTGCGTGAGGTTCTGTAATGTGAAAACACAATGCACACCTTGTTACTTCATTTGGAGGTTGTCGTTGTTTTTTTTAATTGTCCTTATAATCTGAAGCACTTACACAAATCCATTTATAAGACAGGTGTTATCAAAGTGTGGACACATTACTAAAAATGACATAACCATAGGATCACAACAGTCTGTTCAATAAATATTAATACTGCATGCATGACACTACTTGCCCCCCTCTATGATTGTTGTTACACAAGATCCTAAGTAATAAGCTCAGAACGGAACAGAAGGGACTTGCTCAAGATATATATATATATTTTAGTGACAACATGGAAACATGACAGCTCACAATTTTGTGTATTGATATTAATGTGCAGAAACTTATTACATGACAATTTGGCTTCACAGAACTTCTATCATCAAACTCAAACAAGAAAATCCAAATCTAACTTTTTACCTCCTTTGCAAGAAGACAAAAAATAAAACATCAATGTCTAGTAACTGTGCATACTGTTTATGATGGCACACCACAGGTTCTAAGAATATGGCCCTAACAAGCAGGTGTATATAAAATATAGTTGTTTATCAATAAGTGGTTTTAGTGACTCTCTAGATCAGGGATCTTCGTGAGAAGTTGCATATAGACACAAAATCATTACATCATCAAAAAGAGTGTTCACATATTAGATAATAGATCACCCTCACTGAGGAACAGTGACTCGCCAGAAGTACTACATCTGATTAAGCTTTAACTTTAATGACATAAATGTGTGTGTCTGCATTAAAAGGCCCTTTGAATAAGCATATTTACAATATTGGCTAACCAGGAAATACACTGAAAGTGGCCAGATTAAGCATGTGTATACTGACTCTACTCTCTACTGAGACTATTCTTAGCAGGTTACTTTTTTTAGGTC